GTTGTGTATATTCTTTAGCCACTAACTGGTTTTGTATCACTCAACAGACCCATCAACCTTTCTCTTTATTTTATAAATTCATTTATAATCGATGGGCCTTTTATCATATAGTAAGGTAACCAAGTCCCAAGTTTAGTTCTCTTCAAGTGCTTTCAATTCAGTAAGCATTGCCTCTTTCCAATGGGGAAATTGGATTGCTTGATTGTAAGTCTTAGGCTCGATATCTTTAGAGATAGATGAAACAAATGGTTTATATTTTGGGGTAATTTTGTCATATAACAATACATGGGAAATACAATGTGGTGTTAATGAAATGGAGTTGACCTGAGCTTTAAACCATATAGATGGTAATCTTGAAATCAAACTGGTTGTTTATAAGACCTAGTAGACTTCCTTTTTGGCTGTGGATTTATGGTATCATTATGAACGAACTCTGTGGCTCTAATAGGATCAGTTTCTATAGATGCTGGTTAAACATTTTAGTTAGCAACAAAGTTAGAAATAGGAAAAAGTGAAGGAGGATTATGAGAATTAACTGGTGCACTAGAGGTGGCATGCACTATATCACCCTACTATCTATAAGATCAGATAAGTTGTTGTCAAATTATGTCATAAAATCATCGATGAAAGGAAGCATAGGACATTCAGTATTCAAGGACTTGGATGTATGAGGAAAAACATGCTCAACAAAATTGATATCTCTAAAAACAAAGACTCTTTGAGCTTGAAGATTAGAGACATGTAGCCTTTTATTTGAGATGGATATCCAAGAAATAGACATTTGGATGCACGATGATCAAATTTAGAACAATGAGGATCAAGTATAGAGGCATAGCAAAGACAACCAAAAACTCTAAGATGTTTTAGAGTTGAAAGAGTATTGAACACGAGCTCAAATGGAGTTTTATTGCTAATGAATAGGGAAGGTATACGGTTGATCAAATACATGGCATGCATGACACAATAAGCTAGAATTTCATAAGCAAAATAGCTTAAAATCTTAAAGTGCTTGTTGCATTCATTATATGTTGGTGTTTCCTCTCCATCACATTATTTTGTTGTGGTGTGTATGGATAGGATTTTTGGTGTAAAACACCTTTTTTTGCATAATATTCTGCAATGTTAAATTCTTAGCCATTATCTGTTCGAACCACTTTAATCTTTGCATTGAACTAATTGTTAACATATGCAAAGAAATTATGCACTATTTCCCTTGTTTCAGATTTTGCTTTCATAGGAAACAACCACGTATCCCTACTCCTATAATCAATAATAGTAAAAAAATAGTGGTGAACATATAAGAGATTGAGGCTAGTCCCCATATATCAATATGAACAAGATCAAAGCACTGAACGCTAGTCAATTTACTGATTGTAAAAGAGAGTCTATTTTATTTAGCAAAGTGACATATGTCACATATAATGTTTGAATAAGGAACAACAGAATTTTTGATATCATAAAGTATCTGAAGTCTTGGTGAAAAAATATGGCTAAGACAAAAATGCTAAAGATTTTTATTATTGACAAATTAAGAAGAGTCTAAAGCATTTGATCTAATAACATAATTTATAATACAAAGATCTTTGGTCCTTAATGGTTTCAGGTGATACAATCCATGCCTCTTTTCAGCTATACCAATTATCTTCTAGCAGCTCATATCCTGGATAATATAATAACCATTGTTGAATGTTAAACAATATTTAGAGTGTTGTAACATGCGACTCATCAACATAAGATTAAAAGAGAATTGTGGAGCAAATAATGCACCTTTAAGTACAAGTAAATGTGAAAAAATGTACATCACCTATATGAGTGACCTTGATAGTTTGAGAGTTTGACATTTTTATGTGTAAGTTATCTATTGGTCTACATGTGATAAACAGTTCCTTAGACCTAACTATATGATCAGTTGCCCTAGAGTTAATTATCCACTCATTTGTCTTTTTATTGGACTGAAAAAAGAGGAATGAACAGTACTTGGTCAATGAATGGCCTGGAAATTGATAAAATTGTATCAATATGAAGAATGGTTTGTGGAAGTGCTGATGGCTGAATCAATGCCAGGATCTTATTGTAATGTCCTTTAGTAAAGGTAGGAGGCAAAACTTCAGAATTGTTACACAGAGAATAATTGAGCCTCACTTGAGAGTTAGTTATATTCAAACATGTCTACCATTTGAACACTAACTTGATTAACATTGGATATATTTCTTAGTTTATGCCTATAACCAGGTGGATAACTATTTTTTTATAGCATATATCCACTATATGTCCTAAGAAACTACAGTGTGTACATGTCAGTCTCTTAGGATTTGCTCAATTAGGTGGAGTTTTATTTCCTTTATGCAATTGAGTGAGCTTATTTACATAGAATACACTCGGCTCAACCTGTTGTATACCAGATCCAATAGTTAAATTGCTTTCATGTTGTAGAACTAGACTAACCACTTTGGTACGGCTAGGTATTGGCTCCATTAAAAGAACTTGAGATTTTACAACACCAAAGGATTCATTCAGTCCCCTAATAAACCTAATCACCTTTATCCTCCTTCTGAAATCTCTTAGAAACATGTTCATATGCAGGAGTCAGTCTATAATTCAATAGTTCATCCCATAAAATTTTTATTTAAGCAAAATATTCTTGTACAGAACACGTACTTTGCTTCAATGTATAGATTTCCTCTTAGATATTAGAAATTCTTACCATACCTCCTTAAACGAATTTATCGTGCAGATCCTTCCAGAGGCCCTTCACATAGTCAAATAAAAACACAGATTGAGCTATGGAAGGTGATAAGGATTTCAAGATCCAAGTTAGCACAATAGTGTTGCGACGCTTCCACGCTTCATAAACTAGATCGTCCTTGCTCGGAACAGGAATTGAACCGTCAATGAACTTGAACTTGTTTTTAGTGACTAATGCCATATGCATTAATCTTGACCAAGAATAAAAATTATTACTTGTCAAGATCGAAGAAGTAAGCATTAATGTTGGACTTTCATTCAGATAGAGGTAAAAAGGATTGGCAAGGATCTCTTCAATCTTCGAAGATTCTGAGTTTGCAGACATTGTTTCCAATTTTACTTGATAACACGTCAACAAAATTGCTGTTGAAAGTCATGAGCTAACAGGACTAGATTCTAAATTAAGGATCTAGGGTTTCTTAAAAAAAAAAAACTTATGATGTTGCTTGAATCGACTCTTTATTGCTTTGATACCATGTTAAAGTTGATGAAACAAAAAAATTAACAAGATTTAGAGAAACATGAAATTGTAAGAAATTTGAAAGTGTAGTTCTAGAATGAGAGAGAATTGATGCTAAAGATATTTGTAAAATGAACTTTCTTATCTTTTATTAATTGGGGAACTTAGTATTTATATTGAAAGATAAACAAAATTTTTAATTATTACAAAGTAAACCCTATAATTATAATATTTTTAAACTAAACCCAACAAAATACATTAATTATAATCATAACAAAATTGTTAAGTACTCTAATAAGAGTAGCAATTGCTGCTGTAAATCACAACTTATACAAACAAAATTCCATTAATATAGAACCCTATGCTAATAGAAATTTTATTGAAATAGGTGAAAACTATACTAAAGAATATTTTTCGTTTGGAAGAACTTCATAGAGGAACAAAAGAGGAAGAGGCTTTTGTTGGTATAGCCCCCAAGGACTATATAGATAGTAATACTTTTTTTATTGTTATATTATATTATATTTAAATAATAAAAAGTTTGTTATATCATAGGGTGATTTTTTTTTTCCAAAAATCTATTACATCAATTGGACTCATCAATTAAGTTAATATCTGAAAATCATATCATCTAGCGAGATGAATAAATCATTTTAATTGGTAGATTATGTCCTCTCTTCATTCTTATAAAATTGTATTATTTAGATAAATAAGTCTAAAAAATTTCAAAACTAAATAAAGTCGCAACAAGTCGGGTTATGTTTAACTATAAATTGGATAAAGTCGAACTAAAACTTCTTTTGTGAACTTGTCTCAAGTCCAAGTCAGGTTCCTTTTTTTCTTTACATATTTGGATTAAATTTAAGTTTTAAATCTCTATATAAACCATTTTTGCTCATAATCTTTTTTTTTAAAATATTAATGCTTTTAAATAGCTTCTGGTTTTTATTTAAAACTTTTTATAGAACTTTATGAGAAATAATTTTAGCATATAACAATTTAGCTAAGAATGTTAACCTTCATGCTTTTTGATTATTTTTTGTATTAGAATGATATTTTCGTAGGATAAATAGTTGGTTTAGTTCACACATTAAAAAAAAAAATACATGCAAATAATATGAAATTTAAAAATTTTCATGAAAAATATTTTATGCAAATTACATAAAATTTTTTGGTAGGACGTAGTAATTCAAGTTTGAATCACATTGATTAATTTTTTTTTTGGTAATAAAAAAGATCAAATTAGTAAGAATTAAACAAGAAAAAAAAATGCAATATTAGCTACAACAAAATATTACAAATAGGTTGTGAATAAAGAAGAAATGCTCTTCAAGAGTTACGACTTTTATTTGAAAATTTTAAAAGATACCAGCCTTAGAGGAGGGTTATGTTTTATTATTAGTTTAAAATAAAAAAGTTTTAACTTTGATATTTAAAACTATCTTTGTAAGAAAATTTTTTTATCTTATATTTACGTTATTAGTTTAACACGTGATACTATTGACTAGTTATTTTTTTTTTAATAAAGTTAATCAAATAAAATATTACAATAATTATTTTTCATTTTCCTTTCAATTTGAGTTATCTAGACTAGACAAAATAAATTATGTATTTTTTTTAAAACTATTATTTTCTTTTCTTAATTATTTATTTACTAATGTTTTACCAAAATATATCTGTAATATTTGATTAAAAATATATATAATAAATGAAACTGGTATAATGGTTCATGAATATGATGTCTTGTAGTAGTGAAGATTTACTAAGCCTATATAAATAGGCTTGTTCTTATAAAGAAATGCAAAAATTCCAAGAAATAATCAAGAGAGAGTTGCTTCACACGGCAATTGGCAATTCTTGATTGCCCACTTTTGTAACTGTAACTGTTGAAGCTCTTGCAAAAATTTGGGGGCTTTTTGTTTGCTAATACAGTTTTTTATAACCATCTTTCTTAATTACTCTTTCAATCTCCTCGGTCTGTTTGGATCTATCAAATGAAATCTCTGCATTTCTTCTTCCTCTTCACTTTTTTTCTTCTTCTTTCCTCTCGCTTCTCCTTTTCTTCATCTCCATCATCATCTTCTTCTTCTTTACATTTAACCCAACTGTTTGACGATTGGTGCAAACAATATAGTAAGACATACTCGTCCGAGCAGGAGAAGCTGTATAGGCTCAAAGTCTTTGAAGACAACCTTGCCTTTGTTACCAAGCATAACCTCTTCTCAAACGCTTCTTATTCTCTTTCCCTCAACGCCTTCGCGGATCTCACTCCCCATGAGTTCAAGGCCTCTCGTCTTGGTCTCTCTGCTGCGCCTTTTGCTCTTCATACTTCGTTTTCTCATCACGTCGGTGGCCCTGTTGGCGATCTTCCCGCTTCTGTCGATTGGAGAAAGAAAGGAGCAGTCACCTCTGTCAAAGATCAGGGCGCCTGCGGTACTTAATTCTTTTTGCCTTCAATTCTTACTTCCATGTTATTTTGCCGAGTTTTTGGCTGTTGATCCAGATTCGTGTAGTGTTGTTTCCTTTTTTTGTATGAAATTGAACATATGCTGCTTACTATTTGTGCCCTAAATTGCCCATGGCCTGGGGAGTTGAAATGAAAAAAGTGAATGACTTTAGTTTCGGTTCCTCTTGACTAATGGTCGGCTTGTGGTCGGCTGCCTTCTTCTTCTCATTCTGACTGGACTTGTCATCGCTGTTGAGTTGTTCCACTACCATTTCTGGAATGGATAAGCCCTTTTTTCCTCAAACCTTCAAAATAGCCAGTTTTCAGCCATTTGCCGCTGTCAGAATTATTCATTTACTGAGCTATTTTTTGAAAAAAAAAAAAAAAATCTTTTTCATTATCGTGAAAGTTCAACGATCTAAAGATGCCTTATCGAGCTAAAAGCTCCTTTATTCATTTTTCCACTATATTAGAATGAAATTCAAAGCCTACTCTTGCATGTTCCATTCGTGCATCTGCTGCTTCCTTATCTTTCTAGTTGCTCGGTTCCAGAGCAGTCCTGACTTTGATGTAGTATAAGGAATGATAATAACTAAAAGAAGAGAAAGTGCCATAGTGAGAATGAGAACCGCTATGGTGACTCAAGTCAAAGTACTGGGAATAGCACTATACGGATTGCTGACACTTGTTACTTGACCAAATCGCAACAAACAATAAATACTAGGAGTCACATGGGATTTCTCTAACTAAAGCCAAGCTAAGCTAACGGGAGGGAAAGGCCCAGAAGCCAAGTTGCAATCTTAATTTAAATGCTATTCATTTCACCCCTGGATTTAGATACAGTGAAACCTATCTTGTTTTTTTTTTCTTTTGTTTTTATATGTGGCTTTTTGCAATTATCAAACCATCTATGAGAAGTGCTTAGTTGATGATTCATCATTCCCCTACCTTCATGTTCGTGCACATCAAGCTTAACGGAAGTTTCCTTATTGCATTTGTTCATTTCTTATGTTGAAGATTCTCTTGGTTTTGAAAGCTAGACAAGTTTTCTTGTTATTGACCATTCTATTGTCTCACACCTCTGATTTGCGCCATGTTGAAAATTGCCGACATTAATTTGGATTGAAGTAGATGGAAACCATAATCAGTCAGGATAATTCAGGACCATAAAATTTTAGTGATCTTGATGCCGTGGAATCTGTTCTCTGCCATTTGTCAGGGCTTTTCTGATGTTATCCGATGACACAGTTGGGTGTTCTTTTTTTGTAGGCGCATGTTGGTCATTCTCAGCCACAGGAGCTATAGAAGGCATAAACAAGATTGTCACTGATTCTCTAGTCAGCCTCTCTGAGCAGGAGTTGATTGACTGTGACAAATCTTATAATAATGGCTGTGAGGGTGGTCTCATGGATTATGCATATAAATTTGTTATAAATAACCATGGAATAGACACTGAGGAAGATTATCCTTATCAAGCTCGAGATAGGTCCTGCAACAAGGACAAGGTAACTGCTTCAGGCCCCTTTAAGTTCTTCTCCTAAATCCTACTTCTATTCTCCTCTCCTATCTAGTCTTACTTCCTGTTTTTTCGGTTCTTTTTAGCTTCTATTTGCAATCTATTCTAATTCATTTTTGTTTGGTAGTTGAAAAGACATGTTGTGACAATTGATGGTTACACCGATATTCCTGCAAGTAATGAGGACTTACTGCTTCGAGCTGTAGCAGTTCAGCCTGTGAGCGTAGGTATATGTGGCAGTGAGAGAGCATTTCAGTTATATTCCAAGGTTGCTTAAAATTTAATCGTTGATAGTAGATTCCTGTCAGCACCATTTTTTAGTGGTGATTGAAAGTGTTTCGATTGCCTGTTTGATAGGGGATATTTACTGGCCCATGTTCCACTTCATTGGATCATGCTGTGCTGATTGTTGGATATGGTTCAGAAAATGGTGTAGACTATTGGATTGTAAAGAACTCCTGGGGACCGCATTGGGGAATTAAGGGTTATATTCATATGCTGCGTAACAGTGACAAAGCTGAAGGGATCTGTGGTATCAACATGCTAGCTTCATATCCAGTTAAAACTAAGCCTAATCCACCTCCACCACCTCCTCCAGGTCCCACAAGATGTGATTTTTTCACTCACTGTTCAGAAGGAGAAACCTGCTGCTGCACACGTCGAATTTTTGGAATATGCATTTCATGGAAATGTTGTGGGCTGGATTCTGCTGTGTGTTGTAAGGATGGCAGACACTGTTGCCCCCATGATTATCCAGTCTGTGATACAAGTAGAAACCAGTGTCTTAAGGTTGGTAACCATATCTACTCTTTCCATAAGATATTATGCTTGTTATATATAAAACGCAAGTAACGGATAGCTGATTCGATTTTGATGTCTCTTGAAGTGTAAAATTTCTCCCATTATTTTGCTGGTGATTTCAACTTACCATGTTGTTTTGGTTATAGCATTTCCTGGAGCTATGACATATTCATACCTTTTCCTTTTTCTGATTAACATATTTTGAAATTACATGCTTTTAATTCTCATATAATTGAATTTTATATATTACAAAAACCTTAGGTTAGGTTATGAACATAGTAATCTGGAACCGTGGTATATTTCTATTGTAGGACAGGTACGGATATTAATACTAGATGCTAAATTTAGATTCGAAGGGGGTCAAACATAGTTAGTATATTATTGAATTCAGAGTTCAATTGAACCACTTATTTGGTTTATTGTTTGGGTTATAAATAATAGTTTAATAAGAACTATGCTCTCTTGGTTCTTGTTTTTCTTTTAGAAGAAGAGACATAGGATTCAAATGCTTTTTATAACTATAATAAGAATATCAATATCATGATAGGAATTCCTAAAGAACGGAGTTGATATATTACAAGTTTTTAGAAAATATTTTAATATGTTTTAAGTCCCAGAAAAGAAAATGTTGTTTGATTGCTTGTTCTTTATTTAGAACACCTAGCTCTTTTACTTTATTTGTAACTAATCTCAAATTTGACAAAAAAAAATCATTAAGAGTACAAACTTTTCAATCTCTCATTCAGTACTTTTTTCTTCTCTCACTCTCTGTGGAATCCTACTCTATTAACTTGTCCAATTCTTCATAAATCTTGGTTCTAATTTTTGAAATCTGGGTCAAGAACCAAAATGTACCCATGCGAACTTGTACTGCCAAAAGAAACTTCGAGTTGTCAATTATATCCTTTATGGAAATGGCAAACCGGTTCGGGGAATTTTTGACACAAGTATTCAATTGGTTCGAACTTGTTTAGTCTTGAATTGGGACCAAGACAACAAAAGTTCTTCCGTCGAAGAGGTCCGTACTTTCTTTGTGGAAGTGAGTACAAATAGTCTGATTCGAGATTTTCTAAGAATCGACTTAGTGAAATCCTAATCCCATATTTCGTATATCAGAAAAAGGAATGATCCGTCTGGTTTAGGATTGATCTCTGATAATGGGTCAGATCGCATCAATCCGTTTTATTACAAGGAAAGGATTCAACAATCACTTAGCAAAAATCACGGAACTATTCGTACGTTGTTGAATAGAAATAAGGAATGCCAATCGTTGATAATTTTGTCAAATTGAAAAATTCAGCATGTGCATTACAGGGTTTGTGTGATGGTAGTAATTATTATTAGAAGTAAATCAAGCATTTTTATGGAATTTATTTGAATATTTAATTTAATTAGGAAAACTAAAATGTTCATAAAATTAAAATACTTATTTGTTAGATAATTTCAAGTGAAATTGAAAATACACTTTAATTCTATCCAAATTGATGGAATCAAAATGGTTCCTTTCAGTTCCATTTGAAATTCCTGGTGAGATAATGTTTGTATTATCTTAAAAAAAGAAAAAATCATTATATCCTAATTGAATTAGATGTCATTTTTCAATTAA